CTCCCATGTCAGGGAGAGTCAATATTCTATTACAGGTCAAGTAGAATTTATCTCTTCAAAACCTACATGGCAGCTTAAACCCTAAAGTCTTAAAACTAGCTCCCTAAGGATGGTATCTGAGGGTGAAGCCCATGGGTGGTCCTTGGGTCATTCAGGAATGCCCCTGGATGGTAGTTTTCTCAAGTTTGGTCATTTGTGCTAGGTTTTGTGTGCTACCTGACCTAGCATGTAATTTTTCTTCTGTTCATGCCTTGACTAGCCACCTCAAATATTGGATTATATAGAGCCATCTGAGCTTGAACTCTTTCCTCTAAATCATGAGCTGACATAAACTTCCCAGGAAAGCCCTCTCATGTACTTTGGTTTAGGTGACAAGAAGTGGACTGATACTACTACTACTACTTAAAATAATTTACTAGTCACAAAAACAAAGGACAAAAGGCTAATGTGACAGAAGTCACAGATCAAACAAGGCCATGTATACAGTTCTGCTCAATCCTCTTCCACCACCTCATCTAGTAAAAACAAAACTCCATTTACTCCAAATGAAGTATTAACCCGCTTTAACAGGGGTGATTAATGCTACTGATGAAAACAAGAAAAAAAAAAACTCATCAGAAAACTCAATACATTTAACTAGGGAGGTTTGAAATTGGTATCAAAGAAAGGCACTAAAATACATCCTTCTCAGGCATTCATGTCTCAAGTACAGTTAATGATGCAGTATTAATGATTCTAAGTAGAAGAAAATTTAAAAGTTGATATCGGAATGACTTCAAATGGAAATAACTTTAAAATTCAATTCAAATCAGTATCAAAGCTAAACCAGAACATATTTACCAATGTACCGCCGAAAGATACAGAAAATGTATAGTACCGATACTATATTATAAATTAAGTTATAATATCTTCACTCTGCATCAAAAGAAAAACTAAATTTTTAAGTAGGATGACGTTGGACCACCACTGTGGAAACAGCATATTAAAATCTCCACCTGAAATGCCACAAAGGTGCCAGTTTGAGTCCTGGTTGTTTCACTTCCAATTCAGCTCCTTACACATGTGTGGGAAATCAGCAGAAGATTCCCCAGGTCCCTGGGACCCTGCATCCATGTGCAGACCTGGACGGAGCTCCAGGGTCCTGACTTTGGCCTGGCCCACACTTAGCTATTGTGGCCATTGAGGAGTGACCCAGAAGATGGAACACATATTTCTTTATTTTTCTTTCTCACTCTATTTCATTCTTGCTCTTTCATTTTTCTTAGCATTCTCTTTCCCTGTGGGGAGTGGAGTGCTAAAGCTGCTCCTGGGACTGGGAGGGGCCGCTGCAAGATGGCAACTGGCCCAGGGCCAGGAGGCGGAGCTGGTCTCACCAGCAGGTAAACAGCAAGTCACAGGGATAGGCTAATGCCCCACTGTGATTACTGGCCTATCACGTAGCACCAAGTGGACCCATGGGGAGAAGTGATTGGTGGAGAAAGATATAAAAGTAGCCAGTAAAAGTTAGATGATGGACATACAACAAGATGACTGCAACAAACTACGGACAGACAGACAGACAAGACGAAGACAGGCGAGAAAGACTGGGGGGTGGGAAGAAGGGTGGCAGAAAGGAGACAGGGAAAGTACAGGAAGAAATATCGGAAGAAGAGGGGCGGACAAAGGCTGGAGAAGCAGTGGAGGAAAGCTAAGGCCAATGGGGACAGGAGCAGTGGAGTTAAGGATTTAAACGCAGCCGCTTTGGGCAGTGAGAGGTCCAGTTCAGGCTTTTCCTGGACCCTCAAGAGTGTGCCTCATGGTTTTTAGTGTCGCTGCTGCTGGGTGGTGGCAATATTTCCCTTTCGCATGGACTCTCAAAATTGTAAAATACCAATTTATTTACATTTTCAGCTCTCTGATGGTAGGTTTTGTGCAATCCCAAAACTCAGGTCAGTGCCATGGCATATACAGATGTTCACACAAGGGAAAGAGTTCATCTGAAATTTTACTAACACAAGTATCCACCCATGCTCTAATTTCCTTAATAACATCTATGACACTTGTTAACATCTCCAAAACTACAGATTCCATCCTTAAGAGATTTGTATTTTTAGAGCTCCTGGAAACTTATTTCCCTCCAAGATTCAAATGTCCACACAATGTCCCACTTAATGATACCACATGGTATTAGTTTCTTCCGATTCATATAATGTGTCACGTTACAAGAAATACTCGAAACTCACAGTCCAACAATTCCACTTGAGTATATATTCAATAGAATTGAAAACATAAACCCACACACTGAAAGATATAAATAAATGTTCACATCAGTACTATCCTTCCAGTCAAAATGCAGAAGCAATAAATATTCATCAACAGATAAAATGTGGCCTATCCATCAATGGCATATTGTTCAATAATAAGAAGGAATGAAGTGTGTTATTTGCAAAATGATAGGCACCAATAACAAAAGTCATATATTATTTGGTCTTCCTCCATATGAATTTTCAAAGTAGACAAATCATTAGGGCCAGAATGTAGATTCCTAGTTGCCAGGTTTAGAGAAGACAGAAATAAGGAATGACTGCTAACTCTTACTATAGAAATTCTCCTTAAAATGCTGAAAAGGTTCTGAAATTAGACAGCCATTGCACAGTACTATGAATATACTAAAAACCTGGAATTGTATGTTTTTAAAAGGGTGAATTTATGTTATATCAATTATATCTCAATGAAACTCCTGTTAAGCAAGAAATGTTCAAACATAAGTCAGCTGATCATTTATGTGAGTATTGCAAAAATAATTTTTGACTGATTGTTTTACTACAGAGTTCAAGTACTTGATTCTTCATAATTTACACAGAATGTTTTGATTTGCAATATATAAAAGCAGATGAGTAACTCTTACATTAAAAATATGAGTCCATATATCTAAAACAAAATTAAAAGTAAATGTAATCAACTTCAGCAAAACCAAAGACCTTCCCCAAGAGAGTTTAAATAGTTAAGACTGCTCCCTTCTTCCACATGTGGTTGAATGGGACAATCGACCAGTCAGTGCTGGCTGGTGAATAAAGATTCCTGAGCTTCTAAGAGTGCCTCCGTCTCATTTCTAGGATAGATTTGATCAACTCGCAACATTTGGAAGCCCCAGTGAGATCTATCCATCCTGAATAATCTAGGGACTTGATCTTCATGGACTCCCCTGCTGAGGCTGCAGAACCAGCACCCCAGGGCACAGCCCAGTGTGTCTGAATGCCCAAGCAGGAACAAGGCACCATCCAGAGAAAACAATGCCAACTGGAGTCATGTGGAGTGCAGAGCTCTCCCTAGGTCCTCTAGAGGCCCTCCAACAGGTTCTTAATCACACCCACCCATTAGTGTGAGGAGTCTACTCCTCATGTCCACAACCTATAAACACGGCATAAACACGGCATCTGGTTTAAATCCTACAACATCGCCCATCCAGCCTGGAGACATGGTGAGAGGCATCCTGCACCATCATCATAACAAAGCTCAAAACTGTGAAGGTAGCTAGGAAGCAACTTTAGATCCATAACAGGCAGTGAAGAAGGATTCCACCCAGAACCAGGTAGACATGGGGCCATCAGAAAATTAATGCCAGAGCAGGGCCCATCACCTAACAAACTCTATTCTCCTGGTCTTCATGATTAACTCTCCCGCTACTGCCCTGGTCAGACCTGTTGCCCTGCTCTTGCTGGGCCTCATTTTATTCTGTAAAAATGATGGTCATTTCCACCAAGTATGACCCTATAAACATGGATGAGTCCAAGATTGTACTCTTTGACTAAAAATCAGTGTGGAATGTGCCAGACAACAGAAAATGGCAACAGTAAGGCTAGGTCTTCTGAAACACTTCTGGGACACGTCCATTATCTGACCTTTGCCATAAGCCTGGGTTGTTGGAAAGTCCTGAAATGTGAGTGGCAGTGCTTATCACAGATGATATCTCATTCCAGGATGAGAGCTTTCTTTTCTTTCACAGCTGATTATTCCAAATTGTTTTCTGTAAATGCAATTGGAAGGACCTATTTGTCTGGTTCTATTGCTCGGTACTAGGTGGGATGTGACTCTTACTGACTGTGTAGTTTAAAGTGCAGGATACTTAAACTGAGTGTCCATGTTCCACACCGCTATAATTGATTGCATAAATTGCATTGTGCACTGATGTAAACTTGGTTGATGGGTTTGTATCATGTGCCAGTGCTTTTAGTTGACTGGATAATCATTACTTAAGAACCCCTGAACATGGCTGATCAGGGTTGATCCCCACTTCCATGTGTGGAGGAATGGGAGAGTCCACCAATCAGCACTGGCCAGTGAATAAAGATTCCTGAGCTTCTTTAAAAAAAAAAGAAAGAGATAAATGGTTTTGAAAAATAGCCTTTAACAAAATATTGATATATTCCTCAAAAGGCTATATGAAAAGACTAATCTTGTTAACAATTTAGCCTGCATAATATTGAAATTTAAATGGCTTATTTTACATATATTTAGTGATTTCCTTTGTTAATTGGGACCTAATTTACCTGCCCTTGTCACATGATCAAATGCTAATTCCCAACGAGAATTATCAATGATTTGCTACAGTGCTAATTGAGAAATACGGCATAATGAAATACCCAGCTACATTCATATAAATAGAAAATTTTAATAATGCACTAATTTATATTAATATAAACCTATCAGCTATAAATTTAAGAAATATTATTAAGACTTCATGGTGCTAGAATAAAGAAAATATAATCAGTGCATATAATAAGCATATCTTTATTTGAAAATGTCTATCCATAGTCAATGAACTTACAGAAAAAAATTATACCTACCACTTTCAATTTATCAATTTCACTCTTAAAAACTAACGAAAACACGCAGATAATCTTTGTATGGGCTTTTGATATTTAATCCTCTTTCTTAGAGTATACCCACACACAGCCCAATAGAAGTCAATGTATCATTCCCAATATTTTCAAACATTCAACTCAACAGCCTAACAATACCTTCTGCTCCACCTTCAAGAACTGAGCCAGTTCTTCCACGGTTAGGTGATCTTTCTTGTCACTGTAGCTCAAGAGCAACAAATAAAGATCCCGTCTCAAAGACATCATTTTGTAAAAAACACAAAATTCTTCAAATGTCAAAGTTCCCTGATTCTCGTCTGTGTCAGCTTCCTGAAAAGGGCACAGAAAGACAAGGCAGCATGAGAGTTTAGTAGCAAATTTCATACTGGGAAGTATATACATTGAAAAAGCTAGCAGATTAGTCATAAATGGTGAACATGCACTTAAGTACACACCAAACAGCATAAAAACTACATAACATATTAGACCACAAAGAAAGCTTTGTAAGTATGAAAAATCAACCTCCTGCTAAAACAAAAAAGTTAAGGAAATAAAGCATCTTTCAATAGAAAATGAAATTCATACAAGTGAATAAATGCTGATAAAAATTCATACTAATATTTGCACAATGAGGTGAACATGGTAATTAAAACAAGACATGAAGTCTTAAATTTATTGGAAAGTAAAAACAGAAACTAATAATTCAATATAAAAAGCAGGAAAAAGTTAAGCCACAGAAAATATAAGGAAAAACACTATAAACAAAAGCAGAAAGTAATGGGTCAAGAAACAAGTAGATATTAACCAAATAAGTAGATACTACCAAAACCAAGAGCTGATTTCTGAAAAAACTAATTCTTACCAAATATATATATATATTAATAAGACCAATAAAGAACAAAACAGAAGATGCATTAATGGCTCTTATCAATTTCTGAACTGTAATTTAATCTGACGTCATTTATTTTTCCTCCATCCTCTCTGGCACCTCCTTCCCTGCTTTGCCCTCTAGAAAAGAAGGAACAATCTCTCTGGGTTGTTTTCCAGCCAAAGTTGTTTCTAGTAATCATCAAGCAAAAACCTTTTCACCATGCATCTTCTGAGCAGCTGAGTTTGCCACCCAAATCATACATCACTGGGGACACATGATGAACAAGCAACCCATGTACATGGTCTTCGTTCAAAGGGAGCGTGTTGGTAACTGAACAAAAACTGTTTTCCATTCAGAGTGGTGACTCATATCCTATTGCTTCTGGCCTTATCACCTCCAAGAACAAGGGAATAAGAAGCAGAAGGAGCATAAAACACTAAACACCAAATCGCCCTGCTACCTAGTTACAAGTATGGACTATCATCTATCTAGTCAATCACTCCAGTGTGTGTTTGTTCTTATGACTCCTGTTAAAACCCGCAGCTTTTATAAATTAGTACCTCACTTTGAGCTTTAGTATCATGACTAAATATAATATCAGTAAAATGCCTGAGTAAGTTTCACCAAAGGATTCCCTCAATAACCAACGCAGAGATAGCATCTCATCTAGCACCAGCAAGCAGCTTTCTGAGCTCCTGGAAGAAGCTCCCTACATAGTGGGAGTGACCAGTACCTCCCAACCCTGGGATTCCAAACCTCAAAACTCCTCCAAGACAAAACAGAGAGCTCTTGAGGTCTTAGACACGCACAATTTCTCTAACATTAGTCTTTATTCTGATGCTCACAACAGCCCTATGACGGAGGCAGACAACACGGCTGTCCTCAAAATGACTCGATGGAGTTTGCACCGTTATTGAAGTGTCAAGAAAAGTGCTTATAATTCTCTCTAAAAAAAAGCATCGGTAAGCCAAAAAAAAAAAAAAAAGCATTTCACAAAGCGAAATTATGCATACACATGAACTTTATGAAGATTTTTTGTTTGATGAAATAAAACTCTTCTCTTTATCAAAGAGAAGTACAACAGCGCAAAGCTAGTAACATTCACTTCCAACAAAACACAGCAGCTTTTCAAGGCACCTCAAACAGCAGTGAATTCAGTGCACTTACACAAGGCGGTGCGGTTGCATACACATACCTGAAACATTTGTCTGACTTTTCTTCGGGGCAGATTCACATTTAGTTTATGCATCAGTTGGTGTATTTCTTCAATGTTCAATAAGCCATCACCATTCTTATCGGCTTCCTCAAAAGTCTGCTTCACCCATATGAGGAAAAGTTAAAGAAAACACCCATGCTTTCATCAAAATATTTTATCAGCAAAAGAAATTAAGTTAACATTCATGCAAAATACAAAATAAATAAATATATAGGTAAACGTGTGTACATATATTCTCATAGATGAACTGCATGGCGGAGATTCTCATATCAGGAAGTGAAGATTACACTGCAGTAAGCATCTCTACCCCCAAATAGGAGGACTCCCAAGGAAACTGCTAAATACACCTTGACAATATGATACTAGATTGCCTATACCTACAATGCCATGACATACTTCAAAGGCAGAACAGTGGACTTGTGATTGTTGCTGAAGGATTATGCTATTGCAATAATATGGGGGGGTAATAGTAGGGGGAGTGGAGAAAGGGAACTAAAGAAGAGGAGGTGCAGAGGGGAACTCCTATTCCTACACAGCTATATCATGGAGAATAATAATAACAATAAATAGGAATTTAAAAACAAACAAAAAAAAGAACTTGAGAAGAAATAGCTAGGAAGCCCTGGAATCCAAAAGGCGTAGTGAGCTGCTAATAGGGACAACAGTCAAAACCCCAAGACCATGGAGACACACATACACAGGTGGGCAGCAATGAAATGAGAGTCAGAGCAGATTAGCTTCAAAGCTTCTGTAAGTCAAACATTCTAAATCCAAACTCAATATAAAATCTATTATTACAAAAATAATTTTTAAAAATCGATTACCATTCATCAACCAGAGGGGGAAAACTACATCACTGGTCTTAATTTCCACAGCAGCAAGTAAGATCTTCACTCACATCCCCTTTAGTAATGTACATAAACCTAAATGTTCCTTTATGATTTTTTTTCTATCCCTTTCTTCTCATTTCCTGGCCTGCAACAGCCAGAGCAGAGCCAGTCGGAAACCATGACTGAGGAGCCTCTTCCAGGTCTGCCGTGCAGGTGCAGGCTCCCAAGGCTTTGGGTGATTCTCAGCTGCTTTCCTGCTTCCCATCCACACCTCCTCTTTCAAATGTCCTTTCATCTAGTCGCATGGAACGGCAGATGACTGCTTCAATCCTTTCCTAGGTCCTATTGCTACATTTTTTAAGAATTAACTCCGCTAACTCAATCTTAGTTTCACTCAGACAAGCTTGTAAAACTAAGTAAGAAATTCATGAAGAATTAATAAGAGAATCATGTCTCCAAGCTAGACTCTTGCAAACTGGTCTAGCACTCAAGTCTTCACAGATACAGCCTATCTCCATGCTATGTCTCCCTTCTATTGATAGTTTAGATGGTCCCTAACAGTCCTAAAATCCTAACTTCGGGAGTAACCCAGTGCACAAGCCGCATATGCTAACGGTTGCCTTCCAAGCTCAGGTATAAGAGTAGGAGAAAGGAATTTAGACGTAAAGGATTTACACTGCATTGTGCTTTTTTAAACACCTTCAGTGTGCCGAGCTTTGGCTTGCTTTACAAGCTTAAAAAAAAGGTAAGATAAATAAATAAATTTTTAAAAATTTTTGAGTTAACTTTGAGCAGGGGATTTTCTAAATGGGGAGCAGTTCACAGATGGTAGGCATCGGGTTACAAAAGGTAAGAATGGTATGTATGCTTAGAATACCAAATTGAACTTCAAAGTTCATAATGAAAAAAATGAAGGTGATGCAAAGAAACCTGAGAATCAAAGGGAAAGAGAGTTTTAAAGCCAGGAAATGGGAATTGGGAGTACATCAGGAGAGGTCGCTGGGTAAGCTCTGCCTATCAAGTAGGTGACATCAATTGAGAGATTTTCATTTCAAGACAAAATATTAACTCCCGGTGGTAACACAGCACATTTGCATTTCTTACATGATTCAGATTGTGATTGTAGGAGCCTGTAGGTTAGAAAGGACAGACTGTACAAAAGGTAAAACTTCATTCTAGAGTTTTACAGAGTGGTTTTGACATTGTAAATTTTGTTTCATACTTTGTTCCCTTTAAAACATTATAAAATATTTGTAAGAACCCAGCTCTTTCAAGTTCAATTTTTCCTCAAACTTCAATCAATATCTCATTATGTATGACATCTGGAAGTTAAAAGGAGCCCCAGACCTGGAGGAAAAATAGCTGAAGTAAAAGAATGAGGATCTTCAGTAATTACAAAGAAGTACCTGAATCTCATTTTGTTTTGTTTTCTGAGCACACTGCACTCACTCCAAGAGTTCTGATTCTTTTGGTTGAGGACACTGCTCTGGGCCACACAAAATACTTGTCCAGAGTTCAAAGAAGTGATTAAATAGGTCCTAATACAGCAATGTTTGTACTATTTTATCCTGAGATCCTTTATCAAAGCCTCTCAGAGGCATGGACAGAGGTCATTTCAACAGGCCTGTGTCTGCAGTCAGACCTGCAGAATCAACACCTAACCTGGACTTGACCATTGATTCAGGGGACAGAGGCAAGGTTGGCCCAAGAAGCAACACTAGCCCTAATTCTACTGCAGACCTGGCCTGGGGACAGCAGGTCACGGATGTCACCTCTCGGAGCCCCTGTACAAGTGCAGTAACAAGCAGGTGACTTTGAAAACCCTTCCACTACCAAGACTCCATGAAAACTGTTCTTTCCAGTAACAACAGACAAGCAGACAAAAGGGGTCAGACACAGTCAAGCCGCAGTTTACAGTCACACACTTGATACTTTAAGCAGAGAAATTGCCATCTGTGGAGACAAAGTGAAAGAGTAAATTAACAAAAAATAATAGTCTTAAATCAAGCAACTACAGAATATAACAAATTAAAGGTAAACCCATCCTATAAAAGGTTTCACTATAAATATTTTAGGCTTTGCAAACCATTTGCTCTCACAAGCAACTACAAGAAAGGAGCTCTATAAACACATTCAAGGGCCAGAGGGAAATGTGCAGGCCCAGTGCCGACATCCACATCTCTGCATTCCTGGCTTACTGAGATCTCAGAGTTTAATCCATCCAAGCAGGAAAGTAAAAGACTTGTCACTTTTCACCTCTCTTTAGAAATAACAACCGTTATCTTATTATTTTCAAAATGTCACAACATACTGGGCAGCTTTATAGACATTGGACATATCAATTCATTTGACCTTAAGACATCTCAAATATAATAGGTGCTGTCATCAACACTACTACCACATTAAAGATGCTGAGGGAAAAGAATGGAAGCATTTCACCAAACACACAAAGTACAGACTCGAACTGGGGCTAGACCCCAGGCAGTACAGCAAGGTCAGAGAGCCCCATGATACTATACAAAGACGCATGTCAATGCCCACAATGATGGACATACGACTGTGTATGAAGAACTATATGTTAGTAATGATTTAGATGAACTAGGTGGGAGGGAAGGGAATTGGAGAGGGGATAAGGGAATATGGAACTGTATCATAAGATGATAATAATAATAAAATGTAAAAATAAATAAATAAATAAAAGAAAGCAAGCAAATGAAAGAAATCACATTTAATGCAAATCCCACAGTGAAGGCTTAGGTAATTAAATCTCTTTTTGTGAACCACAAAAAAATTAAAAAGAAGCATGCCAAAAAAAATCAAAGAAAATGCATTATGATCAAAAATGCACTTTGATTTTTTTGCATCAAAATAAACATCTTTAAATTCCATTCGCTCCACAAACTTTTGAAGTACCCTTACATTACTTCCACTCAATATGACCACCCTGCTGCACAAATAATTCATCTGCTGCTCTGGGCTGAGTGGATTTTCTCACAATCATTTAAGATTTATTATTGTCATTATTCACTCACAGTTGAAATTTTAAGTACTAAATGAAACCAAATAATGAATTTCCCAAATATGCTCCTCTCAATATAATTAAATGCTCAATCAAGGGTGTCATTCTCTTATTAAGACATTGTCTTAAAACCCTATCAAATTCTGACAAATATGTGTGAGGATTGAGTCAACATAACGCGGCCTGTGCTTTCAGCTTCCTCTTTACAAACTATTTAGTAATGCTTCCTTTCTTTGTCACTAACATAACCATGTACTGCATCCACGTTAATGCTTCCTATGGCATCACTCCCCTGTGCCGTCTGGAGTTCATTTGCTCTCCCCATAATGCATTTTCAGGACATAGAACTCTTCAGCTGCCAGGCTGATAAATTCAAATATGAAAACTTGCAGGTGTCATTCGACATGTACAAACAAGCCAGATCAGAAACTATTGACCAATAATGCAAACACAGGCTTCCGAACTGATGTCCAACTGCCATCAGTCTGATTTAAAGGATTATAAAACAGACTTACAAAAGTGAGTTAGGGCTCTGAAATACTGTGAAAGTGCCCCAGTAACCTGAAGGAGAAGGACAGCTTCTGCAAAGGGATTTCAATCACAATGGCTACTGGTTTTCCCTTTTTTATTGCAGAGAACATCTCGATTTTCCTAGGCATCTGAGTCATACGCTCTCCTGAAGGGCAGGATCCTGGAGATAAGGAGATGATGTTGGCCTTAACACAACCAACCTCAAGACAGTCCTGGCAGTCCCACAAACATGAGGTCCCCGCTCTTCTAACCACTGATCTATAGGAGGCTGCATTTTCTTCATATATCCCAATCAAAACAACTTGTCACAATAGATTGGTTAAGTCAGACATCAAAGAGACTTACAAAACCATGATGCAATGCTACACTTCCAATGTGTTTTGTTTGACAAATAGCAACTTTTCATTTTAAAAATACTATGGTAAAAGTAGTAAAGTTCTTTATGATTTTTAAATGAATTAACGTTTTTAAATTCTCAAATTTTAAAAAATCTAATCTCTAATATGAAAAAAAAAGAATCGCATAAACTAAAGCTCTTTGGAATTTTGACTTTTTCAGACTGTAAAAAGAGTCATGAGATCAAAGCCTGATTGTGTCAATTAAGCCGGTTTGTGAAGACTTGGCTGCAGAGGTAATCCCAGTCAAGAACCAGAGGTTGACTTTCGGGGCAGCTTCTGACCATCCTTCCCATGGCTCTGAGGAAACCTGTGCCAGCCAGCCTTGCTCTCTGGACAGGACCTCTTGGAGCTGCTGCTGCTCCTGCAGCTTTCCCTGAAAACACAACCTGCTGTAGTATGAACAAGCGGGAACTGTGCCCGCCACTGAATTCACTGAACCTCAACTGCTCCATCCAGTCATTGTAGGGAGTCAGTGAAGTGTCTGCCACTGCCCCAAAACGCATTCTTACCAAATCATTGATTTTGCTTGGTTCTTTTTTTGTCATGCGGTAGAAAGTAATGTGTATCTTAGAAAGTAACAGGTGGTAGCTCAAGCAGTTGCATCCCTGCCACCCACATTAGAGATGTGGAATTAATTCCTGGTTCTTGCCTGTGGCCTGGCCCAGCTCCAGCTGTTGCAGGCATGTGGAGAGAGAGCCTGCAGATGGGAGATTTCTGTCTGTGTCGCTCTCTTTCTTTCGGCCTAACAATAAGAAACAAAATGTTGGGCCTGGCGTGATAGCCTAGTGGCTAAAGTCCTCCTCACCTTGCATGTCCAGGATCCCATATGGGTGTCAGTTCTTATCCTGGTGGCCATGCTTGCCATCCAGCTCTCTGCTTGTGGCCTGGGAAAGCAGTCGAGGACAACCCAAAGCCTTGGGACCCTGCACCCGCATGGGAGACCTGGAAGAAGCTCCTGGCTCCTGGTTTCGCATCAGTTTAGCCTCAGCATTGTGGCCACTTGGGGAGTAAATTAGCAGATGGAAGATCTTTCTGTCTCTCCTCCTCTCTGTATATCTGACCTTTAAATAAAAATAATAAATCTTAAACACACACACACAGTGCTTGTCTCTATGCATGTGTTTTGTTTATTTATAAATCCCAGCAATATTTATCTGCATGCTGGAAGTATTGATGAAAAACATCATGGCTCATCAACTCTGGTCCTCACACTCTCACGGTCCTTTCACAGGCTGAATATTTTCATTGTGCTCCAACAACATCCTGGATGAGGGATTAGACCTAGGACAGTACCAATTCCTCCCTGTCTGTGATATTATAATAGATCATTCTTGAGTTTGGTTCACATTTCCTAGCTCAGAACTGCTTAATCAAGGGAGGCCATAGAAATCCAAAATAAAGGTCATAAGGCCCTCCTCCATCCAAATGATTCTGGTCCCACACCTGGAAGCAAAGAATGATGAATAAAATAAATAGAAGGGCCTTCTTGGGCTTCCCACTTGGCCAAATAGCAACTATCGCCAATTTACTATTCTATCCATCTCTAGAAAAACCCCAAAGGACACAGCTCCCAGAGCTTCCAGACAGGTTTCTGGCAGGTGGTATACCCACAGAGGGCATGGAGCTTCATGTCTATTTCCTTACAGCTCATCCTATACATCTCTTCATCTGAACTACTGAACATTGGTGTTTCTCAGAATTCCATGAACTGCTCAAGCAAATTTCTCAAACCGAAGAAGGCCATTGTGTGAACCCTTGCTTTATAGCCAATCAGTGAGAAACAAAGGGCAAGTTCTCTGGGACTACAAGTGGCATGGGGCAGGACCGTTTTAGGGACTGAAGTCCCAGGGTGGGACCCAATAGTGCACCAAGCCTGTGTCAGAACTGAACTGGATTAGAGGACACCCCGCTGGCATCCTTTGCTGAACTGATTACCTGCTTACTAGAGAGGAGAAGTCCCTGTACTTTGGGGATTTCAGAAATCTTCTGTGATGATTGTACTATAAAAACAAAAGGAAAACATCTGGCCTTTCCAACATAACACTTCTGGAAAAAGATTAGGATCCACATTCCAGTGACACAAAAGAGGTAGTGCCATTGCCATAAGAACAGGGGAGCAAGTAAATTGAGACTATCCAAAACACGAAAAGGGGAACCAATGCAGTCAACTAGCCTAAGGCCCTCATATTATAGACAGGATCATGGAGGCCAGAAGAACCAGCCACTTCAAGCCCAGTAGGAAAGGTGCCTTCAGATGGAACCTGTTCGTCATATTCCTATCAGCACTAAAGAGTCACAAGGATGGGCTTATTCAGGAACGGGCCATGAATCCTAGTCTTCTCAGACTATTCAGAGGCACAAATATTAAGTAAAAAATTATTTTTCCTTGAGTATCAATCACTGCAGTGTCCAAACTGTAAGTAAAAATGACAGGGAGAGAAACGGAGGAAAGGGGCTTAGTGCCTGGTACATCATGGGCCTTCCAAAAGCACATGTGAAACTAAGCTGGCTGTGTGAGAGAATAACACACACCAACACTTCCTGGTTCCAGTTGACCAGTACTTCTACAACAAACGCTCACAATAACATTTAATGTGCATCTCTTCTGTCTTAAGACACTTTCGTCTCACAGACTGTGGAACCAAATACAGTTTCTTCCAAAGAATTCTGGTCCTAAGCTCACACAAGCTTACATTTCCATGTATTTTAGATAATCATTCATTTAGAGTGGGAAAGAAGAAGGGTGAGAGGGATACTAAGAGTAAAGAAAGACACAGAAAGTGGTTTACAGTTTCACAATTATGGAAATTAGCAAAGCATAGCCTACTGCTCACTCCACACTCACACAGTGGTAGGGAGGATATTGGTCATGGGTTCTCTGCCTTTTGGCCAGGGAGTCTTCATCACTGATGCCAGCCATCAGGTACTTGAGACCAGTAATCCAGGTACGAGCCTCCTCCGGGTTTGAGGTGATGAGGTCCAAGGACTCCATGTGGTTGCCATGGTAGATGGTGAAGCAGCAGCTGGGGTCAAAGTTCCCCTCAGCTTGCCTGTGGAATATCTCCGACTGCCGGCCCTCAGTGACTTTGTAAATAGAGTCGATAAGAACTGCAAGGGAAGGGAGATACACAGCTGTACAGCTGTTGAACACTTTCACTTATACAGATTAAAAACAAGAAGAAAAAATCACGTTAAATATAAAAAGTAGCTCTATGCCTATCATGTGGTACCATCATCATATATTTATACTTGTTGAATAGTACGATAAATTAACTGGTGAATTAAACCTGTGAATGTAGAGTGGACAAAATCTTGCAAAAACAGGTGAAAGGAAGAGAAGGGGTGAATGCAGAAGGGTTATGGTAGGGTGGAAGGGAAATGTGGTTATCTTCTTGGACCTGTACCTGTGGAAGGCAAATGCGTGAACTCTGTTCTCTTTATATTATCAATAACAAATCCAATTCAATTAAAAAGTAATTATAAGCAAGTCATTGCTTGCGTGTTGAGTTTTAATCGTAAAAATGAAACACAGACCCTACTGTTTCCTGCTAGAAACCTTCTCTACACACATGTTACCTTTCTGAGCAACCTTAACATTTAAAAGCAATCAGTCAGGATGAACTGAGATTCTAGTAAAATTAAAGTTATGCCCATCAGGGCAACAAGTCTGCTAGCAAAGGCAGACTAATGAATATATCAAATTGATAATACATGTTTTTATGAAGAGGAAAAAAATTTTAAAGTTAAAACAAGTCTTTGATGCACTTCAATGTACACGAGAAAGTAGCAGGGTAGGAGGCCAAAAACATGTAGCAGCAACTGAACAGCACAGCTGAATGGATCAGGGTTCATATGTAACGCTTTGGTGGCAGAACAAGAACAGGGCTGGGAGAAGCAGACACAAGGCAGCATCCCAAAGGGGGGTAGCCACAGAATCGTGAGGACCAATGCAGGGATGCTGAGCAGGCCATGTACACCGGAGTAGGAAACTCAAGAGGTCCATGAGTGGGAGGTAAAGCTGGCAACAGAAGACCAGGCTATAATAAGATAGAATCACAGAGATTACCATTACTTATAGGGGCAACACTGGAAAGGTGTATCAGAGAAGCACTGGCTAGGAACAGAATTCACACTTAAACATGTTTTGTCTATTCACAGGTTTATTTTGAAGCAGGAATTGGAAGTGTCTCTGTGCTATTGATTGTCTACTTTTCCCTTAAGGGCAGAGTGCTGATAATCTCTGGTGTGAACTCATTCCCCAGATGAGCCATGAGAAACAGAGCCTGTACTCAACTCCAAGGAAAGTTCTTGGGGATCCAAGCTACTGCAGTGGCTCCATTCCTAAATGCTATGGCTCCATCCAGACATGGGGAAACAACCTCATTCCAACCAAATATGAGGTTGTCTGCTCTGATGGAAGAGATTGGAAAGGAATTCTTGATTTCTAAATAAGAAGCCTCAGAAGAAAGCCCCTTGCTGCCTCTCTTCCTTATCAGAACAGCTGAGGCCATTGACTGCTGCTGATTTTACGACACTTTTCACACAGGAGACAAAGCCAAGAGCACTTTCGGGAAAGAGAACAAGACAGAGGGTCTAGGCTGTATCAGTGTCTGAGGACTTGCTAGGTGAGGTAATATATTTGTTTATCACACAGGCCTAATTTAAAAGAGGCCTGTTGTTACTAAAACATACAGAATAATCTAGCAAGGTGAATGTTGGTTAGGACACACCAGATGTCTAGTAAAGCATTATTTCTAGGCCTGCCTGTGACTTTTTCTAGATGAAATGGACACTTAAGTGAGTAGACTAAAGACTACCATGCAGCCAGCGGGGGGGCGAGGTACAGTATAATGGCACAGAAAAGGTAAGATTGCTTCAGACTCCAGGCCTTCCATCAGTGCCCATCTCAGGTCTTCAGATTCTGACTGAGTTATACCCCCAGCTCCTTGGTTCTCCACCCCACAGAAGGCATATTATAATCCCGTAAGTTCCCTATTATAAAACTATTTATCAGTCAATCAATCAATCAATATAGCACAGGACCAGCAGGAGACAGACAGATATCCTATTTGTCTGAGGAACCCCAACTAATGCATTGTGGAGAGATTTTAACTAGAGTTCAGACCAAAACCACCTTACTTGATATCATTAAAACAATGCTGTGAATTCATTAATCTGTCCACAGTGCTTATGATATGCTAATAAACTTAAAGCCAATTTATTATGCTCATCACCTTTTACAGGAAAATAAAAGCCTGTGGAGGTTTATAACCCAACTTAGAATTCTATCATGTCTCCAACCCAGGAGAAATGTTGGCATTTATAGAATTCGGGGATAAAGAAAGCTTTTATGAATTTAAGCTTCCCAAAGATGGTCTCCATTTATTCTCTCAATATCCATGAGCAACTGACTCTAAGACTTGCAAAATTATGAAAGGTCCATTCACATGAAGCTTTCTCAGAGCCTATCCAGAGTAACCAGCTGCTACTGCAACTAGTGGAGCAAAGAATTCAAAGCTGGGTTTTACTTTTTGCCTTCTCACTCTTCCTAGAGGGCCGCCATCGGAGGCGAGTCCGGTGCTCATCCAGGTAGAAGAGCCGTGCCAGTCCTTTGGCTCCACGCTTGAGCTTGACCATCTGCGTCCCCGACTGCATTACACTCATGCATCTTTCAACTGTAAGAGAGAGCAGGGCACAGCACAGTCAGTCCCCATACAACAGACATGCGCATTAGCATCCATATCAGAGCTCAGATTGACCCACAACGACCCTCCAGATTAAAAAGCACAGTTGAAAGAGGCACTCCGAAAAAGTATTTCATCCTGCTTAAGCCAAAAAAACCCCTTTTCTAGTAGAAATAATTCTACTTCCAGGTAAATATACATTGCACATTGGAACCTTTGTTCTGTTTCCAGGCATAAGACTACTGACAAGTAATTCTTGGTTTTATGCTCTTCAATCAAAGCCTCAGATACAACAAATCTTGTGAGTTTTTATATAGCCAGTTATAAAAAATATCTTATAAAAATGCTTTAAAATGCAATCATTGGGAAGAAGATTGGCAGATGCTGACAATTGCTACGGTTTAATTCTGGCTACATGGAGGTTCAACTTAATCATATTTTTTGCATACGTTTGAATGGAAATATTGTTTGAAATACAATGTTTGCTTACAACATAAGCTTGGTTTGTCAAATCACCCATTTTCTAAGTTAAAATTGTCCTGTAAACCGCCATGTCTTTGAGATGACCATTGCCTGTAGTAGGCGGTTTAGTCTGTGCCCCTTCTTTGATGACTGTACCCCATTTTTCCTTTGGAAATAAATGCCCCTTCTCTCATTCCATGTGCCTTTTGTAGCCCATGAGTCATCCCGGTCAGGAGTGAGTTTAACTTGACTCATTCCCTTGGAAACAAATCCCAACAGTTCCTTAAAGGAACAGAACTGAGTCATTTCACCAGCCAACATAAGAAACGTTCCTGAATGGCCATGGCAAGATTCCACAGTTGACAGTTATTCTTCCTGGCAGTGACAAGCAATTCCATTGCTCCCTTCATTCTGGAATCCATGCAATATTCTTCTGTTTTATTTTTCATTCTATTATCCAGAAATTGCTTTTGTTCCACAAAGATCAACAACTAATTCACAGGTGTGTACAACCATTACAGTGCTGAAAATACCTGGCTCTGAGTACTCACATCTCAACAGTGTGCTATGAGAAATACAAGAAACAGAATACGAACTTTTTTACTTCAGCCTTGCTTCTTCTGGCTAAGTACCTGGCATTTACTAGAAAACACAGTTTTACAACTTAGTATTGTGTGTATAGGGTATCCTTAGGGGAAACATGAGGATAGTCACTCCCACTTTTTATTCCAAGAGCTATATCTTCCCCCCAAAGATATCAAGGAGAGATAGTATACATTAAAGTTTTCCCCCATGGTTTGATCTTCCAAGGGAGGCGATACATAGGTTGCCTTTACCCATTTTACCAGATGTATAAAACACCAATTTTTTTTAAACAGAAAAAACTGAAGAAAACACACACACATAGAAGCTTAAAACATCTACCTTTAGGCTCAGAACAAGAGTTAAGAATTGATTTCATGTCTATTAGTAAGCCCCTCACTGCTGTGCATCATTTGCTTAGGCGAATAAATCTGAGGGCTTGAAATCCTGACAGCCACTTGAGCAAGTTATTTAATTTTTCTGTGCCTCAATTTCCTCATCTACAAAATAGGTGTAATGCATACTCTCTAATGGTGGTGAGAAGTGAATGAGTTAATTCATATCAAATACTTAAAACACTGCTTAGCGTATCACAAACACTAAGTGGGGGTCCAGGGCTGTTGTAAACCAGGTAAGGCTGTCACCTGCTATGGAGGCATTCCTTATGCGCACCACTTGTGTCCCAGCTGCTACATTTCCAATCCACCTCACTGCTAATGTGCCTGGGAAACAGTGCCAGAAGGCCCAAGTGCTTGGGTCCCCAGACCCACGTGGGAAACGTGGAAGAAGTTCCTATCTCCTGGTTCAAGACTCTGAACCAGCCCAGCTCTGGATGTTGCAACCATCTGAGGAGTGAACGAGCAGACAGAAGACATACTTGCCTTGTGTCTGTCTCTGTCTTTGTCTCTCTCTCTCTCTCTCTGTAACTGTGCCTTTCAAATAAGTAAATAAAAACCCAAGTGACAGCTATTTCTTACAGACTGAATGCTGACTGGTGTCAAATTCACCAAAGTGAAGTTTCAAAACTCATGCCTAAAAGGGATGGCATTGAAAGTGAGACATTTGGGAAGCAATTAAATTTAAATGAGGTCAGGAGGGTAGGGCGCCCTTATGATGGGATTAAAACTCTTGTTTGAAAAGTAGTGATGGGACTTGGTGCAATGGCTGATTGGCTAAACCCTTAGCCTGCAAACAGTGGGAATCAATATGGGCACCATTTAGTGTCCCAGCTCCTCCACTTCCCAACCACAAGCTGGGTGGTCTGGGAAAGCAATGAAGGTTGGCCCAAAGCCTTGGGACCCTGCACCCATGTGGAAGACCACGAAGAAACTCCCAACTTCTAGTTTCAGCCTTTTAGGGAGTGAGCCAGCAGCTGGAAGATCTTTCTTTCTGTCTCTTCTCCTCCTCTCCATAATCTGATCTTTTTCAATAAAAATAAATCTAAAAATAAAATTAGAAAAGTGGTGGCATATGCATTCATTCTCTCTTCCTCTGTAACTCCACCTCTCTCCCACTCTTTCCCTCCCTCCTGTTTCAGACAGCAGAGCATAAAAAGGGAAAAGATGATCTGATTAGAACAGTGGCTAACAAGGGACTAGCCATGTATCTAAGTCTATGGGTCAGCTAGGAGCATGCTGTAGGGCTGGTGACACTGGTGTGATAAGATGGTCATTCATTGGCAATGAGAGACTCACCGAGTAAAAGATTGGCTGGATAAAAGACATAATTCAGAGACATAGTGTTCTGGAACAGTGGGTTAAGCCTCTGCTTACAATGTTAGTATCCCACTTCAGAGTATCAGTTCAAGTTCAGGCTACTCTTCTTTGGTCAAGCTCCCTGCTAATGCACCCAAGAAAGCAGCAGAAGGTGGCTCCAGTGCTTAACACCCCAGCAGTCATGTGAGGGATCTTACAGAGCTTCTGGCTCCTGGCTGCGGTCTGCTCCGGCCCCACGTGTTGTGGATGTTTACGGAATAAATCAGCAGACAGACGATTTTTGTCTCTCCCTCTACCAATCTTCCTTCCAAATAAATAAAACTTTGTAAAAAAAAAAAAAATACACAATTCAAGAAAGTATATCTTTTGGAAAGAGAAAATAAAACTATTTAAACCTAAATAGAAAACTATATTAACTCTACCTTCAGAGATCTATAAGCAAGGACTGATGCAGTAGCTCACATGATGAGCTCCACTCGCCCACACTATCCCTGCTTTCCCTTCATTACTTCCTTAAGCTCTCCCTGAAACTGAACTGCTAATGGCTACAATACCCAACGCTTCCACGGAAAAATCGCAGTGACATAAGAGTGGAATCACTGGGGCTGATATTACCGTGTGGTGAGTAACAGTGATATAAGCCACTTCCTAGGACACTGTCAAGCCTGTGTAGACCCCAGTTGGGGCCCAACTACTCCATTTCTAATCCAAGCCTCTGCTGATGTGCCTGAGAAAAGCACCAGAAGATGGCCCAAGTGACTGAGCCACTGTAGAAACCCATAAGCAGCCCCTAGCTTCAGCACAGCCCAGTGCTAGCCATTGCAGACACGTGGGGAATGAACCAGTGGATGGAAGGTGTCTCTGCATCTCTTTCTCTGCTCAACTCCCCAAAATAAGTGTTGTTTTAAAGATTTATTTTTATTATTTTTATATTGGAAAGGCGGATATACAGAGAGGAGAGACAGAGAGAAAGATCTTCTGTCTGATGATTCACTCCCCAAGTGAGCGCAACGGCCGATACTATGCCGATCCGAAGCCAGGAGCCTCCTCCAGGTCTCCCACAGGGTGCAGGGTCCCAAAGCTTTGGGCCGTCCTCGACTGCTTTCCCGGGCCACAGGCAGGGAGCTGGAAGGGAAGCGGGGCTGCCGGGATAGAACCGGCGCCCATATGGGATCCCGGGCGTGCAATGCGAGGACTTAACCACTTGCGCCACCGCGCCGGGCCCAAAATAAAATGAGTTTTTAATCAAGCTAATAAATACCACCTACCACTTAGCGAGCATCATCCAGAAAAGCCCAAATGTTTGGACAATGGAATGTAATAACTCAGTGAAATGTGTTTAAACCATATATTAAATAGTCATTAATTTAAATCTCACTGTTTCAAGAAAATTTGTTTTTTAAAAAAAAACAGCAGCCACCAAAAGTTGAAGGCTCAGGGAAACCTAAAAGACACATTCAAGCCTGTATCAAGTGTAACTTCTTAGAGAAACAGAGGCATGGTCCCCACATCCCAATAGTGAAGAGTCATTTACTATGCAAAGATAGTCTGTGGTTCTCCTCAGTGCACCTGTATGTCCTAAGAAATATTATCAGTCTAGTAATCAGATAAGGGACATTCCTGAGTCTGAATCTGCAAGATAAGCCCAACAAGTTACCTTAATAGGTTTGCATATCCCACCAGGTGGGGATCACTTTCAGGATTACCTAAAGGACAAGTTGTCTATTTCAACCAAAATGCCTACAATGACATCAACCTGAATCCTTACACTAGGATGCCACCATTATCTGTTGCAATGGATAAGCATGTACAGGTCTTGGGTCCTTGGCAGTGTCAGGCTTTGAAACAACTTGCTGCTTTATTTATGTTGCTACTTTATGCTTCATGACAGTCTAGCTGAAAAACTGAAAGCAATGAAGTCTTGAGCATCATCTTGCATGCTTTTCCTTTCCTCAACCCTGAGAGTAGACAATTCCTTGCAGTTATAAAGCTCACCAGGGAAGGAGTTCCCTTGATTGTTCTTCGCAACGCATTCAGCAGGTGAAAATTACCAGTGATAGACACAAAATATTCTTCTGGTCTCCTCTAAAATCACTTCCATACCAACATAAGCCAGGTTTTTCATCTTCTATTTTCAGTAGAGATGGATAATAGCAGATATAATCTGCAAAATTCATCCTCCAACCATGATTGATCGGTGGATTGCATAAAAGAGGATAAAAACAGCTTTAT